AGGAGGACGACGACTACGGAGGAGAAAGAGGGGCGAAGCGATGACCAGCAGCAACACGATGAGGATGATGACGATGATTATGAGGATGTGGATAAGGCATTGAAGAGGGTCAGGAGGAAGACGCGGAAGAGGACGGTGAGGAGGGATGGGGGGCGACGTGAGGATAAGCAGCAAGACGGCCGAAGACGAGGAGGACGATGATCAGGAGGATGAGGGGGATCAGGACCACGAGGACTAACATCATGATAAGGAGGACGATGATCGGGATAAGGCCAGTGCTGCAGCAGAGGAAGACCATCAGGGTAGGGAGGAAGATGGCCAAGATAAGAATGAAGCAGAGGTTCCTTCCTGTATCTCTCATCCTCGCCCCGATCATGTCACTTGTCCTCCCCATCATCAGATATTTCGCCTCGTCCGCCCACTCTACTCACAAGAGAGGTAGGAGCGGAGGGAGGAGAGAGAAGGAGGGAGGGGAGAAGACCATTCCTCCGCAGCTGAGGTTGGTCTTAACTCTCGTGCCGGCCGTTGAGAGGTGAGCACGCGGATGAGGAGAAACGCGACGGTGCTGATTATGATGATGATGATGATGATGATGATGATGATGATGATGATGATGATGCTGATGATGATGATGATGATGATGATGATGATGATGATGATGATGATGATGATGATGATGATGATGATGATGATGATGATGATGATGATGATGATGATGGGCCCTGGGGTGCGTTATGACTAAGACTTCGAAGCGAATCCGGCGGTGGCGACGAGGGCCTCAAAGGAATCCCAAAAAGGGGAAAACGAGGGAAGGGTAGCCCCAGCCCCATCCGACTTGCGTTCCATCCGAGGTCCACCATCGTGTGGCCAGGGCCCCTGACCCCGATGTCGCCCCGGATCTGGCTGGTGGACGACGCCTGGTGGGTCTGTTTTCCACCGCCACCACCAGAAGTAGGACGGGGAGGGGGTCCTCCTCCTCCTCCTCCTCCTCCTCCTCCTCTTCCTCCTCCCCCTCCTCCTCCTCCTCGTCCTCCTCGTCCTCCTCCTCCTCCTGCTCCTCCTCCTCATCCTGCACCTCCTTCCCCCTCCAACGTATGGTGGTGGTGGTGGAAAACAGCCCACAAACGCCTGCGCGCGGCCGCCTTGGCTCTGGCCCCGAGGGGCCGAACTCATGGCGGCGAAGGGGGGCTGCGCGCGCGACTCCGAGGCGGGCCCCCCTCTCGCGGGAGCCCGGCGCCGAGGCCCCTCTTCGGGCCGGCTGGGGCAAAAGCGGCGGCGGCGCGGGAACTGACGTGCGACAGTCAAAGATGGCACAGTCGGACCCAGGACAGAAGAGCATCTTTCAAGGACATGAGACCCTCCGTCGGCCAAAACACAGAAGGCAGCCAAGGGTACTAGTTCCAGGATGCACCAGAACATCCAACAAACACGAAGAACAGCAGGGTACCCTCCCCGAACCGACCTCGATCTTACACCTACTCGAAAAGTCCGCATGTCTGCAACTCGTTGCCCCATGCTGAATCAACTCTGGCCCCCAATGAGATGCCAATGCTCTTTGATTCCAACGCCCCTGCTGTGAGGAAAGATCATACTGTGCGTGTGCGTGAATGCAACATTGGGCACCCGAAAGGCTTGCCGCTCTTGTCACACACACACACACACACACCGAGTTTATAGTTTCAAAATTTGCTGTATCGCCAGGAGGGGCAGCTGGCGCCGCAGAGAGCTTGGATAGCGGGCTTCCGGCGACAGGAGGCTGGGGGCCGACTCAGAGCGGACTTTGGGTGGCAGGTGGCTGAGGGCCGACTTGGAGCGGACTTCAGGCGGCGGCGGCGGCGGCCATCGGCCCCCTCGGCAGCAGGCCTTCTGCTGCGCCGTCTCCGGCGGGCCAGGGAGAGGGGAATAATGGGCTTAATTTCCACCATCACTATCATGGGTAGCACGGGGGAGAGGGGAGGATGGGGGGTCCTCCTCCTCCTCCTCCTCCTCCTCCTCCTCCTCCTCGTCCTCCTCCTTCTCCTCTTCCTCCTCCTCTTCCTCCTTCTTCTCCTCCCCCCCTCCTACCTATAGTCATGGTGATGCAAAATCGGCCCATCAGGAAAGGGTGGGCGCCATAAGCAGTCCGCGGCACCATCCGCGAACGGACGATGCCGAAGGCCGCAAGCGGAGGAGGAGGGGGGAGGGGGGGGAGGAGGAGGAGGAGAGAGAGGGGGAGCGGGAGGGGGAGGGGGAGGGGAGGGAGGAGGAGGAGGGTGAGGAGGAGCAGGAGGAGGAGGAGGAGGAGGAGGTCTCGCAGAAGGCGTACGTGCAGCAGCCACCGTGCCTGGCCACGGGCATCCTGGGCCCGGCAGCGTGCAGACGCCTTCAGGGCGGGGCCGGCAGAGTCTGCACACCATCCGGAGGCACAGGATGGGCCATGGGCCATGGCATCCACTCACCACCGGTGGAAGGGGACCACCCCCCCTTCCTCCTCCTCCTCCTCCTCCTCCTCCTCCTCCTCCTCCTCCTCCTCCTCCTCCTCCTCCTTGTCCACTGTCTCTTCCTCCTCCCTCCTCTTCGCCCTTCTCCTCCTCCTCCTCCTCCTCCTCCTCCTCCTCCTCCTCCTCCTCCTCCTCCTCCGTCTGGGCGAACGCCTGGTGGAGACTCTCCTGGGCGCAGAGCCGGCAGGCGGCGTCAAAGGACAAGTCCTGGAGCAGATGCTGCAGGCGTCGCGGGAGGAGGCAGGGCGATGAGGGCAGGTAGTGCGAAGGCACCGCGGCAGCAGGTGCGAGGGCCCGCGGGGGTTCGTTCGAGCTTCCTCATCCTCCTCGACGGTGAAATGCGGCTGGTCGGGCCTCTCTCCTCCTCTCCCTCCTTCTCCTCCGCCTCCTCCTCCTCCTCCTCCTCCTCCTCCTCCTCGTCCTCCTCCTCCTCCTCCTCCTCCTCCTCCGCCTCCGCCTCCGCCTCCTCCTTCTCCTCCCCCTCCGCCTCCGCCTCCGCTTCTTAGACGGCAAAGCTGCACAGGCTGGGTTGGATGAGACAGCCAACTCCGACGATCGACATCTGCGTCTGCGACCAGCTGCACACCACCCTCCACGAAAGGTAGCGTCACGTGCGCCAGCCCGCGGGGCAGGGCTTGAAGGGCTCGTGGATCAGAAAGTGAGGCACTGAACTCAACATGCAGTCGATCACGGCGGCGCCGGTGCAGGCGCTTATGAAGAGAACGTCCAGAGACCGCTGGGCGCATGCACAGAATCCTTGGCCGCGAATGTGTGGTTTGTGGTGCTGCACTATGCGACCGCGGGCGAGGCTCGACAGCAAGGAGGCGGCGCCAGACGACCTCTCTGGGGAGTACAAGACAGGTTGGGGACGGACAGGCATCGCAAGGTTGTTTGTCAAACGCCCGTCGAGCATCGACGCAACGCAGGACGGCGAGGCATAGTCCAGAGAGTGGCGGGGCGGAATGCGAGGGGGACGGTCTGCCCAAAGAGCCAAGACGTCGTTGCCCTGCCCCTGGGGGACAGAGCCCGCACCGCAAGTCGGGATGCCCCCCCAGGGACGCGTGCGCCTCGAGGCATGCACGAGACCTGGCAGGACCTCCTCCTCCTCCTCCTCATCATCATCATCATCCTCATCCTCTTCCTCCTCCTCCTCCTCCTCCCTCCTCCTCCTCCTCCTCCTACTCCTCCTCCTCCTTCTCCTCCTCTACATCGATCATGCGACGTGTGCCAGTGTGAGCATTCTGGCTGGTTCCCCCAATAGCGGAAGAGGCGGCACTGCGGCCTCGTCCGCGCGGAGAGCAGCTTCTCTGGGGCCGTGGACTGGCCAGCGACCCCGGAGGAGGCGGCGCAAGAGCAGGAGCAGAAGCAGGAGCAGGAAGGGACGAAGGAGCGGGAGGAGGAGGAGGAGGAGGGGGAGGAGGAGATGAAGGAGCGGGAGGAGGAGAAGATGAAGGAGCGGGAGGAGAAGGAGGCGGAGGAGGAGGAGATGAAGGAGATGAAGGAGCGGGAGGAGGAGAAGATGAAGGAGCGGGAGGAGGAGGAGGAGGCGGAGGCGGAGGCGGAGAGTTCGGGGTACGGATCATGGGGCTGCGTCGGGCCAACTGGGGCGATGCGTAAGGCACACTGAGACAGCGATGGGGACAGTTTGGAGCCATCTAGATGGGTGCGTGCATGGATGGTTGCGAAGGGGCACGGATCGATGTATGCATGCGTGGACAAATGGATAGATTGACGGGTGTGTTGATAGATGCATGGGATACATGTATGACTACCTTGGACAATTGAATGCATAGATGAATGAATGATGAACGATCGGATTTGCGTATGGACGGATGCACCGTTGGATTGGTGCATGGACGGGACGAATATGGACGCATGCGTGTAGACTTGAAAACAGACCTAGATCGTGCTAGGACCTAAGCGCACGTAGCGCGCGCAGCCTTCCCGAGTGTGATGCTCGATCGGAAGTGCGCCAGGTATGACTTTTCGCTAGCTGCCCAGTGGGGCATCTCAGGTTGTAGCTGAGCGCTACGGGCTTGTGGAAGGTAGACGACTCGCCACAAGAAAGCCGTTTCCATCAGCTACTCCGCATCGCACAGGGACAGCCTGGGGTATGGGCAGCTGCCCTCCGCCATTGTCAATCGGGTCAAACCTGGTTCTCGGCTTGGCTTGTAGCTCTAATCGGCTCTGTATCATCCTCAGGTCCCGCCTCGTCCTACATTCTCCCCTGCTGGGGTCCCCGACAGCGTTGACGCAAGAGGCGCCACTGCGATCTCAAGAGGGCACATAATGCTGTTGTTTTCTGGCACTCTGAAGGGGTGGGAGGACGAGGGAAAGGGGCGGGGAGGAGGAGGAGGATCTTGAATCGTGATGTCTAAGGTGTGGTGGCCTAGTCTGGACCTCTCTCTCTCTCTCTCTCTAGATGCATCGGACCTCCAGAGACCTCCAGAGACTTCTGGGGCCTCTAGAGATCTCCCAAGAAATCAAAGGTGGGGGAGAAGGAGATGGAGGAGCACTCTATTGTGCCCGTCGATAGCCACTCCTCAGAGTCTTCAGCAGACGAGGCCCCAGTGCACGAGCACCACCCACGCGGAGCAGCAGAGAAGAGAAAGAGGGGGGATGAGGCGGGAGGGGAGGCAGCAAGCAGAAAGGAGAGGGACTGCAGACGGGAGAGCAGAGGAGAGCAGCGGAGAGAGGTGGGGTGGGAGAGGCGGAAAGGGCAATACGTAAGAGGGACCTCTCCCCCGGGTGCGCTCTGACTAGAAAGTCGAGGCGAATCCTGCCGTGGCGACGAAAGCTCTCCAAGACGGGCACCAGTATCGATATCTGCTCCTCCTCTGAGCAAGAGGAGCAGAAGAGGAGAGGAGCAAGCAGCAAGCAGAAATGCGAGAACGCCCACGAACCTGAGTATACTTATCTCGGGCATGCCCCCCTACAGGCGGACCTAGGACGGAAGATCAAACAATCATAAAACAGAATCACAAATAGTCAAAATTATTCTTAAAAAATCGTCCCCTGACATTGTTTGACAATTTTCGAACATTCCTCCTGTAGAGGGACACGCCCGACTTAAAACTACACCAGCCTCGTGCGGCGGGCACGAGGAGGCCTCACCGCATCGCGCCGACATCCTCCCCGCGGACGGTCCTCACGTGCTCAACCTTGCCCGCGCGGATCAGGTGCTCAACGTCCGTCCGCTTCAGGAACAGCTGGCATCCCTTCTGGAGGCGGACTACGCCGCTGACGGAGGGAAAGAAGACGATGACCATGACCAATACAGTGCAGGCCAGTCCACAAGAAACCTTCCACGAGAAACCCAACCCTGAGACCCCAGGACGTCCATCGATTTTTGGCGTGGGGACGTCACGCTTTCCACAGCAAAACCATCGAAACACAAGAAACCCAGGGCACCCTGGAGGCAAGCAGGGTGTTTCTTGGCATGGGTCTCCACTGCACTGAACGCGGAAACGTCGGTGTCGATCTCTGACATCATCCACCCTTGTCATCGTCAACTCGTGAGGCATCCTCGGGAATCGGCGACGGCCGACATGGACCATGACCAAGATCGGCGTCGACAAAATCCCGCGACATCTTGGGCATTGTCACCGTGTTTCTTCCCTCGAGCTGTCCGGAGTGAGGATCTCCCCCACGCTGTCGTCCAACACGCGGACCTCCGTCGTTAACCAGCTTCCAGCACATCCCTATCCCTGAGAATGACAAGCCCAAGATAATGAAAATCTCAGGGACGTGCCAACAGAAACTGGGGGGATCCTTGAGATCGGCAACGAGATGACGATGACGCCAATTTCGGGGAGACGTAAGACTCGGGTTCGGGGGGCTCGGGTTGTCCTGAAAGGGCCGTCAGGAAAATGACAAGTCCCAATCTGAAATTTGACGCGAGCCCCAGCCGCAGACATCCCACGAAAGCTGGACCGTCAGAATCCACGGCGGGTTCGTCAAGCAGCGTCGGCAGACCCGAGTTCTGGCGAACTAGAGTCTCACGTTTCCCCGACAACATGTTCAGGGATAGGGATACAGTCGGACCTAGGACAAAAGAACACCCTTGAAGAACATGAGACCCTCCGCCGGCCAAAACGAAGAGCATTCGACGGTGATCTCCCCCAGGATGCGCATGAAGATCCAACAAACACGAACAACATCAGGGTACCCTCCCCGAACCGACCTCGATCTTGTGGGCGGTTTCTTATTCAGCGTTTCGACATTGGGCGAAAGGGGGGGGTCTGGCTCTGGACCTCTGCTCGGTGCAGCTGTTTGCAGCAGGGCGTCTACTATGGGGGAGACCCAACCCGCTTGGACCAGGCGCCCAAAACAGCCAAGATCTGCTCCACGGGGGGGCGAGGGCCCGCGCTCCTCCTCCTCCTCCTCCTCCTCCTCCCTCCTCCGCCTCCTCCTCCCTCCCCTCCCTCCTCCTCCCTCCCTCCCTCCCTCCCTCCCTCCCCCCTCCCTCCCTCCCTCCCTCCCTCCCTCCCTCCCTCCTCCTCCTCCTCCTCCTCCTTCCTCCTGGATAAAAAACGATCACTATACCTCAGTCCGACTGTATGCTTCGGGCTGGTATGCCGCCACGGAACAGCTTGCGAGGCCCGATCTCCCACGGCCTGCGGCACCTGGAGGCCTGCACGCCCCCCTCGGGCTCAGGAGACCATCATGAAAAAACGATCCGGACGAAGAACTGGCCCCAGGGAAGGGGTCCCTCCTCCCCCTTCTTCCTCCTCCTCCTCCTCCTCCTCCCTCCTCCACCTCCTCCTCCCTCCTCCTCCTCCTCCCTCCTCCTCCTCCTCTCCTCCTCCTCCTCCTCCTCCTCCTCCTCCTCCTCCTCCTCCTCCTCCTCCTCCTCCTCCTCCTCCTCTCCTCCTCCTCCTCCTCCTCCTCCTCCTCCTCCTCCTCCTCCTCCTCCTCCTCCCCCTCCCCCTCCCCCTCCTCCTCCTCCTCCATCTCCTGGAGCCACAGATCAAAGCAACAAACAGGAGATCTGAGACTATTGGGGGCGTCGGGGGCCCCGGGCCCCATTGATTGAGGCGGGTGTCTGGGTCGCCGTCAGGCGCGCGGACCTGCACGTTCATCTCCTCGGGGGCCTCGACGTCGGCGGTGAGGTCGAGGCCCGCCTTGCACTCAGGGACGTAGTGTCTCATGTAGTCGTCCAGGATGTCGTTGTACCTATACAGGTAGACCTTCTCTGCCTCGCTGAGCATGCCCAACTTGTCCTCGGGGATCATGTGGCCGATCTCCCACCTCAGCTCCTCGATCTTCTCGAGCCGGTGGTTGAGGTAGATGAGAATGTTGCGTTTGTTCCGCTCCATCAGGTCGGTGAACAGCATCAAGCCGCCTGCGGTGTCCTGTGGCACCTCCAGGTCCTCTGCCATGTCTAGAGGAACAAATCACAGCATGAACATAAACTTTCGGAGGTCCGCGCGGATGAATTGGATCAGCGCTGGACCCCCCTTTCTGGCGCGCGGAACGCGCCAGGGGCGGCGCCAGAGGCACCGCCAGGGGGCCCAACGCCGATCCAAGAAATCCGCGCGCAACTCCGAACATTTATGCCTATGCCATGCTCTCGTCCTCGAATGTCCGCGTCGAGCATACGCGTCAGGCTCATGAACTCCCGGAAATCGTTGTTGATCTCATCGGCCACCTCCTCATGGGCAGCGAGTGCGCGCCTCGCGCTGCGCGAAGCGCGGAGCGCGAACGAAGAGCCGAGCCGCGAACCGCGACGCGCGAACAGCTCCGCGCCCTCGAGGGTGCACTTTTGCGAGAGCGGCGCCCGTGCGCCGTACCAAGATCGGACTCACCCGAGGCCGAGCTCCAAAGCAGTACGGTGCATTGTTGTTCGGATCTCGAGGGTGGACAGACCCTTTAGCAAAACGTGGTTTAAAGAGAACGACCTCGGGCCCCAACCTGGCGGGTGCAAGCCTGGAAAATGACGGCCGCGGCGCCCTCTCGAGAACCGGAATCGGACAAGTCACTAATCGACGTGTCAGGGTGGGGGTTCTGTCCACCCCCGAGGCTCTGAGGGCCGGAAAACTAGAACAACAAGCAGCGCAACGTTGCAGGAAGAGGAAGGAGCGGACAACACCACGACACAGCACCTCCGTGATGTCATCCTGCGTGAGCTGCTACAAGAACATCCCTTGAGACTGTGGCGGTGCAATCACGGCGTCCGTGGAGCCACGAAGAGTCCTAAAGCTGCAGGAGGACAGGAAGAACACGAAGAGAGGACAGAAAAGAGGAGAAGGCCGAGGGGCCGGGAAGAAGGACAGCTGGAATATACGTCGGCTGCTTCTTCGTATAGTTCTCTGGCAATGACTGAAGTTGATCTTAATGTTCATCTGCAGCTTCCTCGTTGGCCTGATTCCCTCGGGGTTTGCCACAGTCATCGTTAACCCTTTTACGAAAAACAGCTTGAAGTTCAGGGTTCTCGGCCCGGGGCAGGCAGCGCAGAATCCGTCAGGCTTCAAACTCCAGAGTTGAGGAGGAGAAGAGGGGCGGAGGAACACACAGCTGGCAAGTATCAGGCTGCGTATTGAGGAGCAGCGAGGGCTGCCGAAAGGGGGCTTAGGGCCCCTAAAGGGGCCCTTTAGGGCTCCTTCAAAGGGGGCCTTCAGGACCCGAAAAGAGCACCTGTCTTATCCCCACCCCCACCATTTATCGCCCCCCTTAATTTGCGCCCAAGCGTACCCAACTTTCCTCAGTCCCGTACCCGAGGGCCAAAAACCTGTGCACCAGACCGTTGTTGGGTCGAGGATCGACGGCGCCCCGGGAGACGCCAACGCGGTGTTGCGCATCATGTAACCGATCCCTATCCACGCTGGCGTGGTCTTGTCCCCACTCTCCACCCCCCCTAGATGGGGATATAGGCTGTTCTCTTCGGGCTTCGAGGTTGCCATCCCCAACTGGGGTGGTGGGATGGTGGAGCCGGGGCTGCGATACCGTGGCCGCGCGGGGATGGGAATGGGTTGAGCGATACCGAGGCACGACTCTGCAGCGCGACTGAAGCCGTACCTCAGCATCGTGGCTCCAAGGGCCGAGCTCGGCTCCGAGGGCCGATCAACTGTGCACCGTACACCCTGCGAAATGCTTAAGAAATCATGGGTTAAGAAATTCATAGTCTCAGAACTTGAATAAAACCCAGAACTTCTATCAAAATCTTGGGATTTATATTGAAAAGTTAAGAATAATCGAGACTCTGGACGAAAACTTGAGTTTTCTTAAGCATCGCCGAAGGTGTACCTTTCCTGGGCCGAGGATCGGCGACGCCTCGGCAGACGCTGCGCTGGGGGCACCCCAGTCGTGGATCGGCCGTGGAAGCCGCCGCCGCCGTCACGAGATAAGGAGTCATTCGGGGTCTGCAGCCGCCTGGGCACACTCCTAAACGAACGCCCCCGCCGTAGCGCGGATCAGTGCACACCAAGTCGTCCACGGACCCACAGGTAGGATGGGGGAGAAAGGAGGATGGGGGAGTCCTCCTCCTCTTCCTCTTCCTCCTCCTGCACCTCCTCCTCCTCCTACTCGTCCTCCTCCTCCTCATCCCTCTCCTACCTATGGTAGTAGCTCCGTAGCCGGTTTGGCTCAAGATGCAAGCTTCGCAGGGAAGCACAGTGGATAGCGCTAGTCCGCGGCTAGTTGCAAATTTCTTTCGGGCGCGGAGAGTGCCCGTCATCCTACACTGCTTACTATGTGCTCGTCTCTGTTTGGGCAAGGCTGACCTTGCCTGCGGGGTGCTGTAGGGAGTGAGATGTCACGAAAGGGCCGTGCTGAGGAAGCAGGGGAATGGCGCTGTAAGTGGTGTTTGGACACGGGGACGGGGGAGAAGCTGGTCAACGACTCCCACATGACGAGTTGACTCAAGCGCGGTATGGCTAAGGGCAACGCCCACGGAGGAGCGCCTTCTCCATGTCCCCGTCTCCAAATGTGTCGCGGCGGGCGGCACACTGGCAAAAGGAGCGGGTGGCATTGCAGAAGAACCTTGACATGCTGGAGAACAAGCTCATGGAGGCGAATGCGAAGCTGCAGGGCCAAGCAAATGCCAGCAACGATCGCATGGTGGTGGGCGACTCAGGCGGCGTGGCGGAGGGCAAAAGATCCTAAGCTGGCAGCCACGAGGCTCACGAAGCTTCATGAGCCGACCAGTGGGGTGGATGATGGAGCGATCAAGGCAAGGCGGGAAGAAGCGACCAGGCTGGAAGTGCAACGACCTGGAGCAGTCGCCGCACCAGGTACAGCTGGCCAGAGTCGAGCAGATGATCAGGGGGGTGCATCATATGTAAATGCGGCCACGCCAGAGCAAGATCACTTACGAAGAGGCCATTACGGAGTGCGAGCAGAAGGGGAAGGATGCTCGGGAACAGTACGTCGCGAGGGGTGCAGAGCTTGTGGAACTGGAGCAGCAGAGGGCGCGTTTGCTTGGTGGTGCAATGCAACACCCTGGTGCTGCGCAAGACAAGGGAACCAAAGAAGGTGTCAGGGTGTCCCTCACGACCCTCATCGAAAACACTGAGCTCACGGTGGAAGCTTTGAGTGAGAAGCTTGGAGAGTGAGCTGCAGAGACTGACGGGAACTTCGCCAACTACAAAAAGAAACAAAGAGGACCGTGCAGCCGCGGAGGCCAAAGCAGCAGCTGAGGCCAAGGCCAAGCGTGAAGCTGAGAACCTTGCAGCAAAGGCTAGTGCGGAGGCTGCGGCAGCAGGGGCAGGAGAGGAAGCGGAACACGTGGACTACTTCGCGAAGGATGCGCTCGATGCAAAGTCGTGGGGGGGCGTCTTCTCCAAGAGTTGTCCTGACTTGGGTGAGTCTGTTGCAGTGGCTGGCGATGACGATGAGCTTCGAGAACTGGCAAAGAGGATGTGGACCAACTTCGGCGAGATCATTCCAGGCGGACAGAGACGCAAGGTGGTGGCTCCAGGGTCCAAGTGATTCGAGCTGTGGTCAGAGTTGGGAGTGTGATGAAGTCATCATCGACAGAATGAATAAGCAGGAGCAATCGATTACTACGCTGAATGTGGCGGGCGTACCAGAATTACACGAGCACGTGGTGGATTGTGGAGCGATGGTGCAGCGTGTCCAGGAACATCACGCGGTAGAAGCCAGAGTGGCGAAGATCCAGGGACAAACGGCAAGGCTTGGATGGCACGGGTTGTGGGCGGCAGCCATACCAGGCAACGGCCGAAGGTCCTCGGGAGGCGTTGCTGTTCTGGCGCCGAACGCCGCGGAGGGGGAGAAGCCGACGGAAGGGCGACCAGGCCACAGAGGAAGGACGTGCCGCGGCCCACGTGCTCGGTGGATCCCCCGGCGGTTTCACCTTGGTGTCGTTGTATCTCAGCCGTTCCGAGCAGCTGACCAAGGCGAACTTGGGGATCTTGCGTAAGGTGGCCGAGTATGTGTACGAAACAGAGGAAGGCATCCCGTGGATGGTGATGGGAGGCTCCAATATGACGAGAGCGGACCTGTGCGTGGATGGCTTGTCTCTCTTTCGGGGTAATGAAGGAACCATCGAGCCCGACGTGGTTGGCTTCAATACATGGACGCACGCTGGATGTTGATATTGCGTCGAGGTCACTGGCAACGAAAACTGGAGGTGCGTGTGCGAGCTGGCTCACGACAACTTTCTCACACCTCCCAGTGTCGATCAAACTCAAAGGGGCTGAGGAAAAGCTGTGGTGCTACAAGCTGGCGCAACCGAGAAAGCTGCATGTGAGGGCCAAGCCTGGGCGTGATAGGCCAAATAGTGGATGGGGGCAGCTAGCCGAGGAAATGAAGGAGGCCAAGACGGAAAGAGAACTGACGCAGAAGTGAGACGTCATGATGGATGCTTTTTGAATGAAGTGTTGCTGGGCCTTCATGACATCGTGGGGGCCAGGAAAGACGAGTATGTGCAACCCAACTGAGAGCCGCGCAGGAGAAAGAAGAAGATGGAGCTGCCGAAGATCGAACCCAACTCCAGGGCACGCAGGAAGAAATAGCGTGCAGAAATGTGCAAGATGGGTGATGCATCTGATGTTTATGCGAGTCCAAATGGTGTTGGCACTTGGAAAGGCAACAGAGAGGGACGTCGACAAGCTAAGCAGCAGGTTGCTGGGGTACACGAGTCTGCTTGACGCGACTGCGAGGGCGCATCGTACGTGGAGGCATCTGTCCAAGCTGTCCCGGATTGGGTAGAGATTATCACGTTGCCGCTGCCTGGTTTCGAAGACAAGGTCGACATGCTGCTGGACAAGGCGAAAGAACAGGACCTCAAACAGCAGGGGCGGACCCGTGAAGGATGGAGGGCCTGGATTCAGAAAACATTATGCGGGGGGGGGGGGGGCCAGTGGTGCATTCCTATACTCCACGGTGACAGAGGTTCAGGAGCTGGTTGATGCTGGTGAAAGTGTTCAACCATATAAGAGAGTTGAGGTATGTCTGTGGGGCTGGTTAGACACATGGAAGGAGCATGGAGACAGCATACTGGAAGGACCACCTGACTTTGATAAGTGGGCTGACCTTCCTGGGTTAACGGCGGACGACCTTTGGAGAGCAGCTGGCAAGTTCACCGAGAAGACTGGGCTTGGGCACTTCAGGATGCACCCTAAGGAGTTCCAGAAACTACCGACGATAGTGCTGGAATGCGTTGCTGCGTTCGGCAAAGTCGAAGAGCTGCGG